CCCCCCACAATGCTCTAGAGGCTCGATGGTCGCACCTTGAAACCACTGCTCTTCACAATGGCGTTTCCTTGCTTCTCAAATAGGAATGTTTATTTTTATCCGAATACAGATAAGGGGTTTTGAAATCACAGAGTTATTTTATTACTAAACAATACATGCACCTGCCCAATAAAAAGGTCTTTCTTTTCCAGAGACTTTTCTCTGACCTCAACACACTTGCTCCCCAAGCTAGTATTGTAATTTTATAAATTATTTCCTGTGGTTTAAATTTAATGTAAATATACTTTGCTATAATTAAAAATAGAAATTATGTAAAGTTTTATTTAAATTAAAAATATTTTTCGAATATTTTGAGATGAAATACAAATAAAATAAGTATGAATGGGAAACGAATGATCCGTACCAAAGTCAAACAGACCAAGCCCCTCCCCCAATTAACCAAAAAAAAAAAAAACACAAATTTCATGTACCAGATGAAAAGAAACTAAATAACACTGGGCATATAGCAGTGAAATTTAGATCCAATCAGTGTACATTTTGTAGCATAAGGAAGAAACATCATAGAAGATACATGTGCAAAACGTGCAATGTGGCAATGTGGGTCTATGCATGCACCAAAAAGACAAAACACGCTTTGAACAGTGTCACAAAAAATATTTGTTCTTTGAAATTTAAAAAAAAAAAAAAAAAACTGAGTCTTTTTTTTTTATCCTTATTTCACTGAGTTTTTTAATCGATGTAGCCAAACCTCCTTACTATGTAGGTACTTATACTTTCACTGCTATAGTAAAATTACGTAAATGTTTATTTTTTAATTTTTTCTGAGGATTTAGTTTTAAAAATAATGTAAAATAATATATATATTATTATGCAATTCTTACATACATTTTTTTAAATTTGTAAATTTCGTCATTTATTGGAAACACGCAAGGAGAAAGGTAAGTTTTTTACCCTACTACCTAGGTAAATTTCAAAGTCCTAGATGCGTGGTGGTATCACAGTGCGACCACCACCCACAAAATGGGCAACAGTAGATTTTAATTCATATATTATTTGTCTCTAGGATCATAATATTCAATTTCTAGAGTTTTTAGTTAAAAAAATTATAAAAATAATATTGCGCATATCAAAGGGTTTATCAACAAACCTATACACATTTGTAGAAAATTATTTACCTATTTAAAACAGAAAAAAAAAAGTTCCACATACCTACTCAATCTATAACCATTACTTTGACGCTTTTTTGGAGAACAAGCAGCAGTGTTACCCATAAAATATTATTGTGTAAATAAATATGTCTGTATTTCTTCTTTCCTGTTTCTGGCAACAGATTTTTCACATGAAAGTGATGAGTTTCAAAACAATTCCTTGTTCTGTTACGAGATCAGGAACAGGAAAAGGAGTGTATGGAAGTGTTGGAAACTCTTCCAATTTTCTTCAATGTTTAAGAACATGGCTCATTTTAGAACTCCCATAAATGAAAAAATTTTGCAATTTTCCCATGGATTACAGGAAAATGACTATGAAGAATTACAGATGATGATGATTTTATTCCAAAAAAACTGGATATACTTGATAGTAATTCTGAAGTTGATGGACCCCCCAAAAGAACTTTAGGTTTCCTTCCCCCCCCCCGAGCCCACCAGCGGCCGAGCGGTAAAGTCGCTGAACACTGGTAGTTCGGTCCGAGGTTCGAATCCCGCGAAGGGGCTGGCTGCATGGGCGTTTTCGTGGTTTTCCCCATGTGTAACATGTATACGAGCCAGTTTCCCTTAGAAAGTCCTCCACGAAGGCATCCCTCCCCTTAGGCAGATAGCCCTCGAGGCTTTGCCATAATCACACACAAACACACCTTCCCCCCCCCGAAAGGTCCCAATTTAATCATACACAGAATAAACAAATAAACAAGCATGATAGATAACTGAAAGGAATTTCACAGCACAGATTACTTCTGATGCCGCATCATAGAAATTATTAAGTTAGAAGAGATGCCACCGACATATATATATATATATATGTAATGATTTTAAAATGTGTAGATGAACTTCTAACAGCTTAGATACTGCATAGATGACTGAGAAGACCGTAGTGGCTTGAAGATGGCAGAGTGGAAAACATGATGACGCAAACGCAATTTAGCACAAGGTTTTTTGAAAAATCCTGATCTTTATTATTTTACGTATATCAAACCATCCTTTTGCACAAAGATGTTTCCTAATTATATTTGAATACAGTAAGTTCCAATTTGATGTACGACATCTTCTTAAACAAGTAAGCAGCAGCAGCATGGATTAAAAGCGTCTTGCCAGCAGGAGAGCTTACACGAAAAAGGGAGTGTGTCATAGCACTTTAGAGGAAGAAGGTTGGGAAGCGGAAAGGTTTCAGTGCAGAGTTTTGGTTTACAATTAATTTGATTGGACAAGAGGTCTGCATTAAAACGTTTCGTAAGATATAAAAATCTGGAACCTGTGAGAAGAGATGAAATTTAGGAGCAGATTACTGAATTCAGAATGTTAATTTTGAGGTCGCCAATTATTTTTTTTTAAACAGCTATCATATTTTGTTATATCTTACATATTCCCCCCTTTAAAAGAAAAAGGTGGAGCAATAGAGAAGCCTTTTTGAGAGAAAAAGTATTAGAACAGCAAAATATGAGAAATATTTTGAAATTACCAAACAAAAATTAACTTTTGAACAATAAAATTATAATATGTAAAATTTTGAATTCAAAAATAATTTTAAATACTATATTGTTTAAAAATAATTGCAGATTTTTATAGTCCTATTAAAATTTGAGTCCAATCTTTAAAAAGTTTTTGTTTCTGGAACATTCACATCATAATTTTGATACTTCAGGGAAGGATTTCCAAAACGTTTTACACCCAAGATTACAATTATAAAGATTTTATATACCCACAAATTATTACGAATAATCATGAATCTTAAAATTTCACACAATACTAATTTTTACATATATAAGTAATACATTTACCATTTGGAATAGCATTGTTGAAATGATGGTTTTTACCTGTAATTACTACATTTTACAATTTTCATATTTTACACAAACTAGAGGACCCCACAGCTTTCTCCTACTACACACATCCAGATATTTGGGCAAATCCACTTTAAACAGACTCATGCATTAAATTTTCATGAGTGGTTAGTGAATTGCATTATAATAATAATAAAAAAACATTCAACAACATTCCATTATAATAAAAAAATTCTATATAATAAATTAAATAAAGTGGAAGCCTTCAAAGTTTATAGGACATGAGGAGGGTAAAAGGAACAATTATGCAGAACTAGGCCTCTGTTTCTGAACCAGTACTCCCTCATCATATTTCATATTTAACATACAGTTATTGATAATTATACCCCAATGGATTTCAAATACTGTCAACTTTTTATAAATATGTATTGATTTTAAAAATGTGTAGATGAAAACAGTGGAACTTTTAACAGCTTAGATACTGCATAGATGCCTGAGAAGAACATAGTGGTTTGAAGATGGCAGAGTGGAAAACATGATGATGCAATTTAGCACAAGGTATCTTGAAAAATCACAATCTTTATTATTTTACATATATCAAACCATCGTTTTGCATAAAGGTGTTTCCTAATTGTATTTGAATAGAGTAAGTTCCAATTTGAAGTACGATGCCATCTTAAGCAAGTCTTAACAGACCAACCTCTAAGGATAATTCTCGGACAGTCCATCGGCAGTCTATGGTAAGGAGACCGCTCACGATGTCAATGTGCTCTTGAGGAATGGAGGGCCGACCTGTGCATTGCAAATCCGCAGTCTCATTCCGACATGAATGAAATGCTTGAACCCATCGTGCTACCGTCCTGTACGGTAAAGCATTTGTGCCACAGGCTTCCACTAATCGTCGATAGCATTCTGTTGCATTTTTGCCACGGGCAACCTCGATTTTAAGCCACAACCGCTGATCACCTTTTGAAAACATGCTTTAGAATGATGGAAACGAAACTCCTCACTTTAACGCCACACAACTACCCTTCTAAGCAGATCACTTGCACTCTACACCCATGGCTACCGTGCTGTACAGTCTCATTCCGGCTTCCACTGATCCCAGGCTTTCTTTTGCAGTGCCAGCCACTCTTTAGCCACAAAGCACACCAAAAACTGCAACCTCGAAATCATAAACTTTAAAGCCAAAAAAACTTAGTAATGATAAAACAGACTCCTCATTTTGCCACACTACCAAGGACAAGCGCCACCTGACTGCTCTCATATCCTATTTGTGCATGCCTGCCCTTCTGCGAGTTTTAAGGTTAAGTTGCCACTATTTAATTTACAACCCTCATAGTTCTTTAAAAATATTCTTATCAAGAAATTTCTCTGCCAAATAGATTGATGGTTAAAAACAGCATAAATGAAAGAAACTGGACATCATAGGTTTCAAACTATGTTTTTCATTTTAATCACCAACACATTACCAATAAACTGTTGCAAGTTTTGACAATTTAACTCAATTATTACTCACTCAATATTGCTCAAACTTGAGGCCCGATTTTCTTCTTTATTTGAGTGATGCATACTAAGCTTTTGCTAATGCATTAAAGTTCTTGTGTAATGTTGCACAAAATCTACGAGTTCAAGAATGTGCACTCGTTTTCTCTATCAACAGCAGTAAAATGGCTCCCTTCACTCATACTCATATGCAATGAAACCTATTGGTTCATTTCACCCAATACTTGAAACATATTCAAACGAGTAAATGCCAAAATTAAATGAACATTTATTACAATTTATGAAAAACCAAAAACAGTATTAACCGAATATAAAGTAAATAAAAAATACATGCAAATAAATAATCCTTTAAGCATTTTTAATTCCATGCAAATACTACATACATTTGCTTCAATAAAGACGCCAAATGGACTAGTCAAGTCTAGCACACACATCAAAAGTAGAATACACTTGCCTAGATAATTTAAATAAAAGAAATTTTTCATGCAAAATAACTTACGTTATGATGACCATTCTGGTTTGCATACGTGTCCAAAAATATACCTAGTCCATTGAAATAATCAACACTTCCAAACACAGGTCCTTAAATGTTTCAAAAAACGTTACTCATTTCTGAGGCTTACTTACTATAAAATCTCACATCACGAAAATTAGTTTCATAAAAGAAATAAGAAAGAAAGAACAATTCTGAATAATTACCTGAGGTAAGTGGTTGCTTTGTGTACCACAAAGCCATTCCATCTCCATACAATTCCTTGCCTTTGCCATAAATTTTAAAATGAACTTGGAGTTCCCAATTTTTTACATTACATGGCTGTAAATATAAATTATAATCAATACAATACTAAATTCAGCATTATACAACTACACAAGTTTTACATTCCATGAATTACTTTCTGCACAAAAATTACTTATACAGCTTTTATATAACAATATTTGAAGATTAAAAGAGTTTTTTTCTTACAATACACACTTGACATATGCAAATACTGTATATCTATTGATATACATAAAAGAATTTTCCATGCTTGTATAGAATTTTTTGTTACATCCTAATATGTGCTTTGATTACACAATATTGCCTCAAAACGCAAATTGTTATCATTGATATGGTCACCGTTTATTACCACATGCTGAATGATCCAAAAATAAAAATTCAATAATTTGAACATCATAAATCTTAGTGTGATGTAGTTTGGGGAGAAATTCACAGCAAGACATGGTATGTTTTCAATACGAAAAATTTTATTGTTAGAATAGTTATGCTACTTTCTGATTATCCACATCCCCTCTGAAAATCAGTACATTAATACACATAAGGAAATAGCCATTTTTAAAAAGAGCTCCATAAAAGAACAATGACTCAATCAAATTTAAAAAGGAATGAACATCTATAATAAAACATTTTTTTTCAAGAACAGCATGTTGATATACTATATTGCCTATATATTATATATATTGCCTAAAAAGTAATAAATTTTGTAAAAAAAAAAAAAAAAAAAAAAAAAACAATTAGCATTTCTTATAAAATATATACGTGGATGCATTCTTAAATTTTATTATGCAATTTATATATATATATATATATATATATAAAATATGATAGGTTAAAATACCATTTATGCAGAAAACAGAGATTATCTCCAGTATGATAAAAAGATTACGATATTTTTATTTCAGAAAGAAGGAAAAATTATATGAAGCTGAACACACACACATATATTAAGAAGCTTGTTCATATACAAAAGCTGAGTGAAAGAAACATATCAAAAGAATTTTAAAGCATTAAAATTTTACTTGATGATGGCTTTTGTTTAAGAAATTTTGTATTATGCATTTGTATTAATTCTGTATTACATGAAACTGATGGAAATGCTATCCATCCAATAGTTATATGTTGCGAATAATTATTTAAATACAATCGTAAAATTTTTTTTAAAAAGTAAACTTTATTTTTTTAAACTTTGCAGTATAGCACGCAACAATATACCATCTTATGTTACTATTAGTTACAGTGGCACGTTTTAATAAAATACACTTTTTGTTAATAACGAGCCACGTTACAAATAAAGAACTTATAGCAAAAGTGTAGCAGAATGCAAGCGCCACCTAGTGATGAATTTCGCGAAAGCCACTGAAAACTGCGACCCGGAATTTCGTTTAGTCTGGCAGGCCTTGAGTATAAGTTGGCCTTGCTCAAACGCAAGGAAAATTATACTGCTACGGAAAGAGAAACTTTGGCCGTACTTTTAGCCGTACAGAGATTCAGAGTTTATTTTGGTAAGGCACCGATAGTCGTGTATTCAGATCATGCCGCTGTGGAACAACTATACTCCGGCAAAAACTTAAGTCCGCGACTCATAAGATGGGCATTAAAGTTGCAAGAATTCAGCTTAAACACACACACCGGGAAAGGAAAATATTGTGGCAGACGCATTATCTCGAATAAAATTGGACAAAGAAGGAAAACAAATAAAATGTTCCATATTAACATCAAAACTATTAGATTCCAGAGAAACAATTATTTCCGAGTTAAAAAAGGATCCAGAATATAGGCATATTTATGCATACTTGCAAACCCCGGATAATTTCGAACATCCGGATATAGTGGCTATAAGGAATAGAGCAGCAAACTATGAAATAGTCGATAAACTATTATTTTATACTAAAACAAAATGAAAATAGTGAAATAAGACCAGTCACTCCAGGCGGGTTGCGACTCAGTATTTTAAAGGAATTGCATGACACTTTTTTTCCCTGCAACTTCAAAGAGTGGTAACTGAGTATGTCAGGTTTTGCTATACATGCCAGTTAGTTAACGATGTAAATTATAACCCGGCTGGGTATCTAAATAGTATAAGATCTACTTTTCCTAATGAGTTAATTGGAATAGATCTACTGGGCCCATTTCCAAAAAGTTAAAGTAATAGAAATAGATATTTACTAGTGATAGTAGACCATTTCTCAAAATGGTTAAAATAGTCCCCCTTAAAAAAGCCTTAGCGAAAATTGTAGCCGATTTTTTCTAAATAAATCCATTTTAAAATATGATGCACCACTTAGGGTAATATCAGATAACAGCCCCCAATTCGTTAGTCAAATTTTTGAGGAGCTATGTGCAGGGCTTAGCATCTGCCACCTTAAGATGGTTCCGTACAGACAGCAGTCAAATATTGCCGAGAGTGTAAACAGAAACATAGTTAAAATCATTCAGAGCTATGTAAAAATGTATCACTGACATTTAGATGACTGTGTAGATGAACTGGCATATGCTCTCAGAATAGCAAAGCATGATACCATGGGAAAGGCCCCTTGTGAACTCTTTCTGGGAAGGAAGATAATTACCCCTTTAGATAAATTATTTTTTGTCCAGAAAAGGGAGGGAGAATTTAAACAAAAAGACATCAAAAATTAATTAATGATAAATCAAAAATTCAGATGTAGCTAGAGAAAAACAATTGCTCTACTATAATAAGAAAAGACGAGATTTTAATTTTAAACCTCAGGATAAAGTACCGAAAAGAAAATATGCATTGTCTTGCACATCACTCGAAAAAGTGTCAAAATTTTATCCGAGATTTGAAGGCCCCTGCGTGATTCAACGTATTTGTGGATCAGTTTTATTTTTAAAAGGAAGCAAAGAAGGCAATATTACTGCCAATGTGGATCAAGTGAAAAAATATCATGATCATAAGGACATGCCTATTTTTAAAGATCTTTTTCAGGAAACTTCAAACATAGGAGAAGGGCCCTCAACAGCACAAATCGTTCTTCCAGGAACCAAAAGGAATGAAAACAGAGTCTTGGAGCTGGATGGAAAGAAGCATCGACTTCAAGAGCTTAGATGTATGAATAAACACAAAATAGAAAAGCCCCATAAGAGAAATAAGGTCATGAGAAAGGAAGGGGAGACTAGACCCTGCACAACAGCATTTGAGACATCAGAACTTACGACACCAGCCACTAAGGAAGTCAAGAATAAGTTAGCACCTCAAGTTCCACACAGGAAATGCTCATTAGACAAGGATTAAACAGAAGGAAATACCTAAGAAATGGAGAAGAGCCTACGGAGGTCCAACGAAAAATTCCCCGGCCACAACCAGAAAGCAACTAGCACACACAGAAGTAAAACATAGCCGAAAGAAACCAGTATGGACCGAGGCATCAAAAGAAAACGACCGGCAACTGAGAGAAATGGAAACGGTCAGAGTTGCCAGGGAATACGCGTAAGATGTCTCAATCAAGTTCTATCGTGACAAGATTTCGTCAAAAAGAGAATGACAGAGTACCCCAAACAAAAGATAAGTCAAAATTATTCTATTTAAATTTATTTTTAAAATCTAGTACAAAGTTGCTTGAAAATATTTGTCAGTTTTGCCTCGGAAAGAGGACAAGATTTGTTTAATTTAGCAAGAAGCTTACACTTTTGTATTTAGTAAGAGTTTACAATTTTGTATTTAGCAAAATGCTTACAATTTTGTGTTTGAAAAAAAAAAAAAGCTAAAAAGAATTGTTTTTGCATTATTGTTATTATATTATGCAAGTAATTTAAAATTTAAAATTTAAATTTAAAATTGTTCTATTAAGCAAGTAGCTTTAAATGTTTATGAAAAGGAAGAAAGTTTAGCAAATAATCTTCGCCATGTTAGAATGAAACGTTAACTTAAACATCATAGAGACAGTGGTAGAATGGTATCAAGAAAACGAACTTCATTACTCAAAGTGTTAGAAATTCGTGCATGTAGTTAATCTATGCTTATTTTTTAGTGGAGTAAAGTAAGAAATTGATTACGTAAAAATATTTGAATTCTGAATTACTTAAAGTATTTTGTATGCTTGAAATTGTGTTTCGAATGAAAGAGTAGTCTATGTTACTGATGATAAGTCTAAAAAGAAGTTAAGATAATTTGTGAATGAATGTAAATTAAAAGGTTAGGCTCTTCAGACTAAGTTAATTCTCACTAGCGTTAGCACCTCAGGCTGAGATTTGATTGTAAGATGTCTGTCTAGATCTAGTTGGTTTAATTCTAACAAGTAAATGTGGGGTAGTCGGTAAGTGTTGTACTCATAAAGCACGCTCGCATTTTACGCTACACTATGCTCCAGCATAGTGTAGTAAGGGGGAGTTTCAAGGTTAGTTAGAAAGATTGAATTGAGTAAATGTAGAAAAGGTTGAACTGTTAAATATATATATATATATATATATATATATATATTAAAAGTGCGGCAAAAATAAGACATATGTAAGCATGTACTAAACTTTTTTCATTCCAAGACAAAACAAGAATTGCTAAAGAGAGAGAAGATATTGTAATTATGTGCCACATTTCTCTATCTGTAAAAAACCTTTAAATTTAGTTAAGGTATAGATTAAGATTGTAAAGGTGAACTCGCATGTAGATTTAGAATTTAGCTATCTTATCCAGACTTTTAAAGCCTTGTTATGTGATAGTTAAATTCTGGCGAGGGAAATTGTATGTAAAAGTGAACTCGCATGTAGATTTAGAATTTAGCTATCTTATCCAGGCTTTAAAAGCCTTGTTATGCGATAGTTAAATTCTGGTGAGGGAAATTGTAGGGTTTTTTTTATTTTGCATTACAAATTTATTTTAAGTTTTCCTGTTCTCAACTTCCCCTCACTTTTCTCGCCAGGATGTAAATTTAAAGTAAAGTGAAGTGCTATTTAAACATATGATTATCTCAGTTTATTCAGAGTGTGTTTCACTAGCCAAGCGCACGTTTCGTTGTTATTTCGCAGTCACGCTAGTAAAGCCTCTTGGCCTTATCAGTTTAGTATCACGCTGGTTAGATTTC